TGACACAAACTCGTTTAAATAGTGTCTTTTTGACACATATATACAAAGAAAAGACAGATTCTATTGATCTGAAAAGTCTCTGTTCAACTTTTGCATCGAAGAACGAACAGAGAAAGTTATTTTTTGGTACGTTCTGATTCGTTTTGTTTTCACGATGACCGTTGTAGTTTTTACTGAGGTCTAATAAAAAGAAGACTTATATTTTGCTTCATGTTTTATTAAAAGTTCACCATAGAAAAAAATATTATGAGCCTCACTTAGGTTAATGACGCTCCGCCGCCACTGAGCAAAGTAATAAGATAAACTAATGAGTAATACAAGAAATATGTCGTATCGACTGAATCTATATGATCTCATCCGTAACCTTTCATTCATCGAATAATCTGACAGTTGAACATGCTTAAATCTATCAAGTAACAGCACAGCCTTCTTATCTGCTAAAAGACAAGAAGCTTCCTCTCTTTAACTATATTCTTTTTGACATGAATTTTTACTCAAAAGAAAAGAGTTTGAAAGTGAAGGGAAAATTGACTTGAAGACTCTTATTGAATGAAATTGAGATTTATAACTAGCTGGCAAATAAGAGGAATCATAAATTGTCTTAGGATAAGCTAAATTTCTCTGTTTGAAATAAAAAAAGCAACAATATGTTCAAAGTATCAGCGTGACATTTGATCTAATGCATTGTTATGATTTTCGTCAGGTAAGACAATATGTGGAATTTTTCAAATTTGACTGGTACAGTTTTTGTAATTTATTTTATCGCAGATTTTCTCGTTTTTTTAAGCAAAATTAATATTAAATCTAGAAAGAAGCTGATAAGTCTGATCATAAACTTGATAAATAGTCTTTCTAAAATTATCATCCAGGAGAAGATCGTGAGATGATTTTGATAATGATTGTTTCGAAGTAGTCTTTATTTCATTCTTTGTGACACTTTCGAGCTTTTAATGGTAAGTTTAACTCACTGAATTTGAAAAGAAGATAAGACAGATTTCGCATGTGTTGGATTTCGTGAACTTTGATCGAATATTCTGGATTCTCATTGGGCTCAGAGTTTCTATTCTTTTTATTTGTTAGCTGTCTGTTTTTTTTTCTCGGAGCTTCATTTGGTACCTCCAAGTTTTCCTTGAATTATGAAGGTCTAGTTATCCTTATCCTTTCATTAAAAAAAGGGCTGGCATTCACTAACTCTAGACAAATAATCTCATAGATCATGCATAAATACTAGTGGCACAAAAGTCCTCTTCTGTTTCATTTCGATTTGTTTATGAAGGAACAATAAACAGAAAGTAGCATCGATTAAAACGAACTTGTTATGGTGGGGGATTGACGGAGTGGCAATATGTTCGTTTCTCGAGAATCAGTATCATGTTCGAGCCTTCCCCCCTACAGCACCAAGTTTTAAAACAATTCTGTTCGGTTCTGCATGTCTAAAGAAAAAAGAAACTACTTGTTCGTCGATGGTCTATGCATTCTGCTCGCATACCAACATGGTTCGACTTTGCAAACCGTCGCACATGACCCATGTTATCTGTATTCATAGTTTTATATGCTTTACGTTTGTGCTTTGCTTCAATTGCCTTTCATTCTTCATAAGTTACTCTGTAATCAGCACTATGCCCCTTTAGGCCCTATCATGGGTAGAGGATTAAATAAACTGCATATTATCAACTAACTTGTTACATCTCTCTATTAACCATGTCTATTTTATTAAATGAACTGTATCGTGACATATTCTAAGCTAATCGGTTGGCATATCATTCCTATCACGTGGTATAAGTCGAATGATTATTTACCTATGCTTTCTTTTTGCATTGATGTTACCACATACATCATTATCGATTAGTGCAAGAAGAGTATAGTGCTGATCTTAAAACTACAACTTACTAATTCTTGGACAAAATTGAAAAGTTCACAAGTTCATCTTCTGAGCTAGCCACCTGGTTTAAGTGTAGCACTATACACTCTAAGTAAAAATGTGTCGCATGTGTCTTAAATTGCGACACAATGCACGACACATTCAAGTACGACATGAAGTGCTCGCTGCGACACATTCTGCCCAGCAAGAGTGCAATACATTTTGTACGACACATGCAACACATTTTTTATTGATTCTTTTGGGAACGCATGTTTCGACTTTTTCTTCAATTCAGTTTCATACAATTGTTTCTATTCTGAAAACTCAACCGGATCAGATCCATCTATACAAGAAAAGTATATTTCGAAAACTTATCTTTTACGCGTTCAACAACGTTGTTTATATATCCCTGCGTGTTCAAAACAAAACGGTGAACGAACAGTCAGCAGACAGAACGCGAAAAATATACGACACATTTCTACGCTGAAGTGCACAACACATTAGATCACGACAGATAAACCCGACGCATTTCTACTTAGTGTGTATTTCATGTAGAATTTAGAATTGCAGCCTGCTTTGCCCTTATAATAACCGATATGAGCGCCATTCTCTGAAATCTATTGAGATTTCTCCCCTATTTCAATTGCACAAATAATAGTGCTGTATATCACAAATTGGTTCACATTATGTCGTTAACAAGCAGTCGCCTCCATATCCCATAATGTTCAGTTAACATTATCGATGAGCTACGCTACGAACTAATAATAGCAGGAGATCCGCTGATTACTGAGTAACAAGTCACGTAAACTGTGTTGGACTCATGATGTTCTAACTACAGAAAATATTAAATAGTCATCACTACGATGGAAAGGAACTATAGTTATTCTTTTAATAAACGAGAAATTTCGCTTTCTTCACTACCAAGCAGCCTGTTCTTTACTCCTCATACACAGTAGCTGATAATACATAATTGAGAGTTATTACAATCTTCAAAAACTCTTGAGATACCTGGAGTCGAATTCGAATTTGCAAAAGAAATTCTTGCAAAATTTCGGAATTAAGATGTTAAATGCTCACTTTTTTTTCTTATCTACTTATCACTTACTCTTTTAGTGAAAATCTCCCTCTTTCTTGCGTTGTTGCTCCACTCATCTTAATGCAACGAGAACACAAATGATTGTTTCACATTATGAACAAGTGATTCTAGAACGCTGAAGAAGATACATTCAGTTCTATTGGGCAACACAATTCTAAAGACTTCCTTAAAAGTATACAAGGTAGCGATTTGCAAAGACGGTGTATGTATGATTACACAGCACATATCAGTAGTGCCTGATTGAAATATATTAAATACTTCGTTATTGCATTTCTGAGCGATTAAGCAAAAACGGCTGACGAATTTATTCCAAAGCACATCGAATAAAATAATCTCTCCATGATAAAACAACAAAACCCATACTTAGTGACCCAAGTTATGCCGCAAGAAATTTGAATTAGTATTAACTGATTAATAAGTCCCTCCCAGGTCGATGATTCCAGTCGTGGGAACCGGCCGAAATCCGCCGGAAACGGTGCAATTTCCGCTCTGTTCCGGTCGATTCCGGTATATTTCCGGTGATTTCCAGCCGGAAAAAATCCCGAAATATGGAAGCAGTATTCCGGCCGGAAAATTTTCGTACACGCAACTCGAGACATCCGTCCACTTCCAGCACCCAGAAATTAACAGGAACCGGAACGGAACTGCACCAAAAAACATACGGAAACGACCGGAAAAAGACAAGGATGAACCATGCCATCAGCCACCCAACCCGTGAACAACTCTTCCACGACTACAAAAATCCTTTCATCCGAAGATCTTCCGAAGACTGTTTTTTGGAAGTACCTTATTTTAAGGTAGTTTTCGAACTTTGAATAGACGAATGTTAGAAAATCATATTCTAAGACTTTTCTCTGAAGCAACCTTTTGCTGCGAGCGAATTTGTACTGAGACATAGTGAGTCCGTTCCTAAATGCTTCACTTACTTCTCGAGGACTTTGGCTGTATGGGGTTCAGTAGAAGGGCACCATATAGGGGCTGTACCCATACATAACGTGTTGGGATTAGCGAGTCTCAAAAATTGCTTCGGAAGATCTATAAATGCTGCACTTGCGTCTCGAAGACTTTGAATGCGTGTTTAAGTGGAGGGCACGATCTAGTGGCTCTTTCCATGCAAATGGTTCAGATTTCCCGAGCCTAATCGATTCAAAATGATTTAGGTCCCTAAAGTCTATAAAATTGATTAGAAATGTAATGGGTTGTAGTCGATTATTTTTTGGATCAAAAAAAGGATCATAATTGTACTGTTATAATCTA